CTTGAGGCCTGTAACACAAGTTACCATACAGAGTTCCCAGTGTGCTGTCCTCTAAACACACAGTGCTCTGTGAAGAGTGCTCCAGTCATCCAGAATGATCAGAGTAACCCCGCATGTAAATGTGACCTTCTCTCTGCCTCACAGAGATGCTGTGTCTGGGGCTGACTGTCACAGAAACACTTCCTTTCATTTGATTTGGGTTTCTAGCTCTTGAAAACAAGCAAGAAATATGAAATTTCTCCTCCTTGTTCTCCATTCAAACCATTTTATTCCTTCTGGCTTTCTTTGAGATAATGTTCTATGAACTGGTTTGTGAGAGAAGAACTGCTGGTGTGGTCTGAAATATAAAGTGGCATTTTTTTTTTTTTTTTTTTTTTTTTTTTTTTTTTTTTTAGAAATTATGGTAATACTGTTTTGTAAGCTTTATGGTAAATAATTGGATTCTTGGTATGTTGGTCTGCAACATACTCCTAGTAGAGAGTTAATAAAAATCTGAATTAAAAAGCATATGTGCATGTAATTTTTAAACAGTTCTTAATATGAATCATTGACTCATAAAGAATGGTGGCTGTAGTTAGTATGCTGAATATTCTGGTGCTTAATTAATTTGATTTTAAGTTTCCAGTTTATTCATTTGTTATAGCATTTAAAAACATCTTGGCTTACTTCTCATTTTCCTTAATGGAACTAAGTTGTTGGGCTGTAAGCTGCATTACTTCCTTAACAGCATATTTAAAATGATTCTGTTATCCCTGGCTGGTCAAATTGGCACATCCTTGAAATAAAATGAAATGTAATTCATTATTGTATTCACTATTGGAATTTTTCCCAACTATTTCTGGAAGGAGTGTAAATCCAGAGATTAGGAGAGGAACATTAATCACATTATTTCATTATTGTTTTTTCTTAATTCATTGGAGAATTAACAGTAAGAGACCAAAATTGCAAATATTGCAGCTGCATAAAATGGATTCATTCAATAATGTTTAAGTAACTCTGATGGTAAATGGGTCACTTTTTCCCCTGGTTCCCAGGTATTTGGAAAATCAAAACACAGGAAACAAGAAAACATAAGTTGAGCTAAAAAATAGCCCAGCATCTGTTATGATGTTAAAATTGTTATTTCTTCTCTCTTCTTGTGAATTTCCACCACCTCCCATAAATTACAAACAGCACCTTTTAAGCATCTCAACATTTTGTATGGGATATGGATGGATGTGTTGTACTCTGAATTATATTATGGTTCTTGAAAATTTCTGGGTCACTCACATGACTAGCACAGGTGGTTAGTACTGGAATTATTTTGAAAATCTAAAAAAAACTGAGCAAGAGAAAATTACAAAAGTTGTTGAACAAACCACAAACAATGATTGCAGTAGTAATATTTTTCAGACTGATAATTTACTTCTTAGATGCTACTTAGTTTTGAATTTTAACCATATACTATGGGCTAGTTTTTCACAAAGGAAAAAGTAAAAATACTTTTGGCAATGAACAGTCAGCAAGTTATCTGTAAAAATGAAAGGCCTGAGCACCTTCTGGTTTACAGAAATCAAGTGTTATTCTGATGTCCATGTGACCTGGCTGTACTTGGTCAATTTCTTCCTGCAGTCTGTCTTGGGGCTTTTTTTAGATATATGATGAAGTTTAAATTAGTCCTTAAACACTTATAAAAGACTGTATTGTGCATATATACATAAATTAATGTATAAGGATAACAAATATTCCTACAGTGCAGATTTTACAAAAATCACCCATCACACTTTTAACCAATTGATTGGATTATGAAGGAGGAAAACATCAATTAAAAATAAAGAAGTTACAGAGTATAAGATGCAATCCATAAGAAGCCTAAAACATAGTATGTCGCATTCTGATACCAAATGTTTCTGTGTCATTTGAGGACAGATCATGAAAACTTTCTTTTCATTCTTTCTTTGCAGAACAATAGATGGTAGTGTTAAACTTGCACATGAGTTCTATGCTTATAAATCATGACATTTTTAGTCTCATGCTTCAGTCTGTTAGGGAGCTGATATAGTAGTGTCATATGTGGTCAAGGATACTTGTTTGATAAGCACTTGCTATGCTTACACATTACATTCGCAGGTCTTCCAAAATCTTAATTTTAAAACTGATTTTAATCTTTTATCCTTCTGGCCTTCTTCGCTATCACTAACGGTGATAACACTTATGGATATCCCTGTTAGTCATATCATTATTCCATCCAGACTTTTGCAGTATATAGGGTAGAGAGGGCCTGCTGTACATACCAAGAGCCTAACTAACACTTTTTTCTTATACACTTACATTTAATGTAGGAGGATGAGGTAATGAGGTGCTGCAGTAATATTATTTCTTCCTCTGGTTAAGTGATTAATTTTTCTTTTTCTACATTCATAGAGTGAAATATAAATTCATATACTTTGCAATACTTTTTTAAGCATTTAGTTCATTCCAAAGTGAGAACTGTCCTATATTAGTATGACCTTTTGAGAGATCTCATAGGAGTAGTATTGATCAGTGACACAAGTTTTAGAAATAATGCACAGAAGCAGCCAGAATCTCAGCTGAAGTCTGTATAAATCTCATCTGTCTTTCAGTTGGAATGATGCTGATGTTGCAATATTTATGCAAAATGGGAAAGAACTTGACTGCTTTCATATCTCTAAATTTAGTGTGTGGGTGGTCCAGAACAGTGAGGAGTTTATAACATCTCTATGTATTAATAAATCCATTTCATGTGTTAACCTCTGTAAACCTTTCGTCATCCATTAAAAATGTGGCTCTGCTGTTGACAATAAGTCTCAGTAAAAACTGAAAAAGAAAGACTTATGGAAGACCTAGTACACTTATTTCCTGTAACATGCAAGACAGTGTAATTACGGGTCATTTGCCTGGTTTCTTTGGTAATTAAGATTTTTAATTGTGTCTAGTTCCAGGGAATTAGTTAAACTTTTTATTATGCATATTGACTTCCATAATCATCGGCTCGTCTCGTACAGTAAGCTTAGTGACATCATGGAAGTCAATTAGGTCTTTCAAGGCAGAGCAGTGAAGTACATTCTTTTGTATGAGCTGGATCAGAAAAGGTTTCTGAAAGGCCTTGGTAATGCTCTTCTGTGCAACATTTAAGCTTATTCTTCAAAAACCAAAGCCTGTCAGAGTTTCATTTATTGTCCTCAGAGTGCTTAAGTTCATGAACTAAGCTATTGTTAAGAACAAAACCTATAGGCAGAGCCATGCTTCCATCCTAATAGCAATTGCACTAAGCTTTCCAGGATCAGCTGGTTACATATTTGTAGTTAGTAGTAGTGATAATTGTCAATATTTGAAAGTATCACATTGTTCAAATTGGAATGCAGTGACTGTATGAAGGAAATGAGCACAGAAGAGATTGGTGTGATTTCTTTGGCTCACTAAAAATCATTAATTAAGTTTTACTTTATTACATGTAAGGTAGAAAGAACCTTTTAATTTTCTCTTGACAGACTCCAAGTTGTTGCTGACAAGTTGAAAGGCAAGAATCAATATTTTAAAAAGAAAGGAAATCAGGAGAGGGTTCTTTCAGTTTTCCCTTTCCACAATCTCCGATAGATGGGTATATATAGGGTAGACATTTAATACATCTTGCAAAATTTTTTTCTTTGAATGTAATAAAGGCTTTGCAAGTTCCAACTTGGTTCCCATAAGCACAGCCAGAACAGTGTGCAGCCCTTATGTTCTGCAGTGAAATAGTTGTGTGTTTGAGAACCTAAAAAGTACAGTATGATATTGTATGTTCATAGAATCATAGACCATTCTAAGTTGGAAAGGACTCACAAGGATCATCAAAGTTCAGCTCCTGGCCCTGCACAGGGTGGCCTCAGGAATCACACCATGTGCCTGAGAGCATTGATTAGTAGATGTGAGGAAAATTGCCCTAACCAGCCCAACATCTGTTTTCAATTACTAAAATTACTTGTGGCAATAATTTTGGCATTAGTAGTAGTAGCAATGCTAATAATATTGATAATAAATGCAGTATGAATTGGAGAAGTGTTAGAAACCATGTGTCCATATAGATCAGAATTTTTCTGGTCCTTGGATGCCGAAAGTTGCTTTGGGTTATCCATGACCAAAAATTCAAATTGAATTTGCAGGTCATGGACAGGAAGAGACAGGAAGAGTTGCTTCCTTATATAAATTCAGGAATGAGTTCTAGAAACATTACCTTTCATTATATAAAATTTCATACAATATGATTTTTATATATTTATCTTATTTGTTTATTATTCAATATTCTGACATTAAATTAAAAAATCCACATTAATAATGTGTGATTGTTTTTAACAACTTTGCTTCCAAACTGCAGTCTGGAATGATGACTATTGTAAGGCATGACAGTTCTGACTAAACTCTCTCTTCTCTAAATGAAACCTTCCAATATAATTGCTTGTTTTAGTTCTCATTATTCATTTGGAAGAATTAAGCAAATATAATACAACTTTGGCAGCACTCTTCTGATAAGTAGTGTCTATCTCCACTCATGCAAAGTCTTACTGTTGGCCTAGGTAGTTTAGTGTTCCCCATACCATGCGTATGTAGGAAATGCTGTACGTGTGAGTGAAAGCAGTGCTTTTGCCATTTTGCAGGTTGTAAAGTTGGTTTGGAAAAGTTAAATTGCCTGCTTATAAAGGTATTTAGGCACTTGCTTAATTTTACTTTAAGCTTGCGATTAGACACATCCCTATGAAAGCACTCAGGAACATCTGGATAACCAGTTTCTGGGATTTAAGTAAGTGTATTGATGTTTTTTGAATTGAAATTAATTAAAGGTTAATTACCATGCAGATGTTCAAACTGAGAGTTTTGCTCTTGTTCTAATTAGGGATGTCTAAGCCAAGAACAAAATTTAGTTTTCTTACTAAGTTTCATTCAGGATCATTTTGTCTTTTAAAACAAGCTATTAGAACTTCATTGTAACACTAATTTTTTCCCCTCACCTACTTGTTTCTCAGTGTCTTGTGTTTGAAGATTCACCACAGGGAGTCAAAGGAGCCCTGGCAGCAGGAATGCAAGTGGTTATGATTCCAGATGAAAGATTAAATCCAGATCTTAAAAAGGAGGCAACACTGGTGCTGAAGTCCATGGAAGATTTCCAACCAGAACTGTTTGGTTTACCAGCATATGATTGATGCCTAATACCTATGAACATGATCTTGACTGGAGATAAATTAAAAGTGAAATGAAATTTTATTTTGGTATTATGATTGTTTTTCATCTTTTATTCTCTTCTTCAAAACTATAGCACAAAAATCCTGTTAACAGTCAGTCTTTTACACATTGCCTTTGATAAACTGTCTGGAATGTTTATGATTTGTCCTTTTAATAAATGCTAAATTAAAGCAGCATCTTTCTGTTAAGTGAATTCAGCCTTGTTCTATTCATGTCATAATGTTTTCTGGGAATATTATGGAACTATTTAGACAATTTATTGTGACTGCATTGGAAGCTTCTTGTTCTGTTTCCACTTGAATTACTGTTTACATCTTAATCAGAAATCTTTTCTGGATTGCCTTTTATCCCATTAAAATGTTTTTGACACTATTATTGCTGTCAATGCATTTATCCTTTTTCTTATCTCATTGATGCCTTGGAGTGGCTACTTAGAACAGAGGCTAGACAAAGTTAAGAGAATAAAGTGTGTGTTTATTAAAGGCCTTCAAACCTTGGGCAGTCTAAAGCCTCCCATAGGCTGCACCCAAGATGAATGGCAGTCATGAGTTTTTCAGACAGACATAAGTTTGATCTCTTTGCATATCAGGAGAGAGCTGTCCAATTACAACTTCAGGTAATGAAGTCATATTCCCCCAGCTCACTCTCCCCCCACAATTCACTTTTGTTTATACTTTTCGGTGGTTGTGGCTGTAAGGTGTCCTTGGGTTCCAGGCACAGAGGAATTGTTTTGTTTGACCACACTACTGCTAAATACTTAAGTTAAATACTAAAGACAGTATTTAACACTTTATATGAAGTTTAGAGATATGCACTAATGCATCACAGGATTTGAAAAATATAAAGGCTAACCTTAAAATATTAAGGCATCACCATACTTGCCCATCTATTCCACTTGTATTGTGTTGTCTTTTTTCTTTTTTTCTCCCCGTCTTTGCAACAGGGATTCTGTTGTATTTTCTGTGTTTTTTTGTTTTCTTCTAAGATATTGAATGAGATGACTTCCAGACATTCCTTAAAATCCTCATTATTTTGTAATTTTGTCATTATCTTTTCTGATATTTTGATTACCTGCTAGGAGGTATACAAGGTTATATGATCTTAGAATTCAGCCAAAATGCTTTGTATCTTGTTTCTTTCATTTCCTTATATCCTTCTTATAGTCCCTTCTCTTTCATTTTTGTGAAATAAGTGTGTCCTGTCTCTGTGAATCAATTCTGATAAAGTTATGGCCCTAACTTCTTTATCAAAATAGCTTTCTATAGGCTGTCCTAATTTCCATTCTTACCTTGTCCTTGAGCCCTTGCTTTTCACCAATTTTCCTACAAAGAGTTTTGCAATATGTTTTGAAGTGCAGAAATTGCAGATTTGGTTTAGATAAAAAGTTAAAATTTATTTTTCTGGCTACCATAATTTCCATTAAATGTTTATATTGTCAGCTGTTCTTCTTACTTCTGTGTCTTTCTGGTATCTTGTCAGTACAAGGGTAAGGGTCTCTTTATAAAATGCTAGATACATAGACAGGTTTTGGTGGAGTCTGCAATTACATGTGACATGATGGAAGCAATGTCTTACCTTGTCTAAAGAAAATTATGGTATTTATATAGCTTTATGGCAGTTTTATAAAATGAATTGTATTCAGCACTTAAATCCCTACATTTCTAATGAGTATCCATGAGGTATTTCACACTCTCGGTAAAATACCAAACTCCGTGAAGACAAGAGGCCTGAAATATTTTAAATCAGATAATTTCCATGTATTATGAGAAGGCTGCTCTGATCTTGGGTTTTTTAATATGTGTTTATATATGATCTTCGTCACAAAAACATTTTCTAGTCATTACTGGTGTTTAACTTTTAGATTTAAGGGTGTTTTGTCAGGAACAGAATTAATGAATTATAGACCCTTCAGTATTCATGGTGAATTTCTTTAGATTTTCTTCCTTCTGTATTTATAAAAACCTCAAAATTTACATCTTTTACGTAGACTGTTCTTATTTTATTTTATAGTAGTCTGTTTATACCTCAAGAACTTAAGGACATTTTATTCTATATGGTCAGTCATATATGACCTAGATTATACCAGAACCTTTTTTACATAGAGTATAATGCTTACATAGAGTATGTATATACTACATGCTGTAGTATATATACTTGTACAGTATTTGCAGTTAAATGCTTTCCATTCTAAGGATCTGGAGACATTTTTTCAAAATAGAGTAAATATTGATTCCATGTAAGTATTCTCCATATTATGTTGTTACATTTGGCCATGGGTATTGCAGTCATAATAGTTTGTATAGTGACAACAACCTGTCCCATCCAACCTGAACTCCATTTCTGGTCTTCCCAGACAAGTTAACAGAACTATTGCTGTATAATTCCTCCTTTGACATATGTTACATAGCACAAAGTTTTACTGTAGAGCAATAATTCTGAGCTTTCAAGTGTAAAACAGGTTCCTGTTGGGATCTCCTTCATTCATAATTACTGAATTTCAACAAGGAAGTTACTATGTAGAAGAAGCTTTAATAAGCTGTAATTAGTAACTTCTTCGAAGTTTTGCATGTATTTAATTTAACTGGTGAGTTTTGCAAAAAAATAGAAGTGAGACGTCTCATTTATACTTTACTTTGAAGGAATTGTCATCAAAGTAATGAATTTTGTTTTTAAAGATGTAGATGCAATAAATATATCACTTACAAAATAGAATTATTTCACCATGACCCCCTTGGTAAGATCAGCATAGTTCTAATTTAATAGCCTTATCTTAATGAAAATTAATAATCAGTAAAATACTGCTCCTTACCTCATCAACAAATCCTATTGCATACAATTATTTTTCCATTTATTTAGTATCCCATCTGACAGCTGTCAGTGAAATTGTGCCCCTAAACTGAAATCTGTGAACCTGTGCCATATGTCATAACCTTCCCATCATTCTGGTAAAATTTATTCCATTTATTTATTCCATTCTTCTTTTTCAGCTTGTTCACCAACTTCCTGGTCCCATGCTGAACCATTTACTGTTACTGAAGTAATTTTGACTGTTGTTGTTAGCTTTTCTCTTGACTGAATGAGAAATCAAAACAGCACGCAAAATTAAATCCTTCTTCTACAGTAGACCTAAAAATCCTGTCATCTCCATTATATACAAGGGAGATATTCATGTCACCAGTAGATGACTGTAGCCTGTCTGATTAACCATGTACCAAGTATCAACATATGTTTGTATATATTTCTTTACCCAGTTTTTGGTTGGATTTGTGGCTCTGTAGCTCGATCATCTCAACAACATCTGTTCAGAAAAGAAAAAAAGAAAAAAAGGATTAAAAACTTGGATACCCTCCCTTCCTTCCATCTGCTGCTTTCCAGATGAAGTCCTGTTCTGACTGAACTGAGAAAAATGCATACCAGATCCTGGCTACAGATCATGAGAACATGTGAGCAATCAGGACATTTGAATGTTCCATCTGTGTTTTTAGAAGAGGACTGCTAAAAACTAATCAAAAAAGTCTATCCTCTAGCTCAGCAAGCAGACTTCAATCCCAGCAAATAGTTAACACATGCTTAATTCATTTTTATTAAGCAACTTAATTTTAAGGATGCATTTAATTTTATTTGGCTTAATATAGAACATGTGCTTCAGGCATATTCTGAGAAGGATACCAACCTCCAGAAAATAAAGGCAAAAATTCACGACCAAGTTTTTGCCATTGGAAAATAGGATCAGCACAGCAAGATGGAACTAAATTCAGTCATGAAAATAAGTTAAAAAAAAAAAAAAAAAAAGAAAATAGACAGGTTTGTGATGTACAAACTATTGTACTGGAACTTTAAACTCCTTTCTACCTCACAAGTGAATTAGGATTTACATTTTACTGGAACTTCAATGGGATTAATTTTGGTAGAATTTCCAGGTTTCAAAGATCTACATAAATGGGGTTTCATTGAATATATTCAAATAAAAATTCATTGCCTTGGAACAGGATTAATTTTAAAATGCAGTCTGACTTCCATGAAGCTTGGCATTTGCCTTCTACAAATAAAGATCAGAAAAAGCTCAGATAGTCATTCCTCATTTGGATTAGATGCCTTTCTAAAGAATGCTATACTTAAACCAAAGAAACCTCTGCCCAGAATTGTTCATGTTGCATATATTCCAAGAAATGTCTTCAGTAGAATCCAAATTAGAAAAAAAATTGCAAGAAAAATCATAGTAAGAAAAAATGCAGTTATTTTCTACTACTTTAAAATTCATATGTGGCTTTAACAAATAGAGAATGAAACTTGAAATTTGCTGTTTTCTTGCTAGATACTGGTTATCCATACAGATTTTTTTTTTTTAATCTAGATAAATATAGACCAAAAACACTAGCTAGGCAGGAAATTCCACAATTCCACTGGCCATATCAAAAATTTGTTACTAATTTTTTAATATTAGAATAATGTTAAGCTGTTAAAAATATAGCAACCCTTTTTTTTTTCCAATTCCAATTAATTTGTTTCCATGCATTTGTTCCTAATTTAAGTTTGTATCTTTGCTAAATTTACTGTGTTTTGGCACTGAGAAGGTAGGACTGCTTTTTTGTCAAACTAATGGAAATAAAGGGAAATAGTGGTATGGAGGAAAAGGAGTTCTCTCAGAACAGTTCTCTGTCCCAGGGGAAACATGACTGTCATCAACACTTTATGTTAACCTTCCCTTTGGCCAACAAATCTAGGTTGTGGATCTAATTGCCTCATTATGATGAAGGACAGAAGAAGGGCTAAGACTCAAACTAATAAGCTCAAATTAAAGCCCCTTCCAAGAGCCAAGGAAGCCAACTTCAGCAGGAGGGCTCACTGCGTGTGCCAGTGGCTGTGTTTACATACCAGGTAGCTCAGTGTAAAAAAACTAGAGGTATAAACTAGAGAGCAGGGGGCAGCATGAGAAAGTCTGTTGGTCTCTGCTCTTTAGCCCTTTGATTTATGGGCTCTAAGCCATCATATTCAGAATGTTAGGTGCTGGCTCACTCTGGTGATTAAAACAACTTCAGCAGAGAGAGAACATTCCAGCTCTCGCTTTTCTCTTTGTGGTGCTTTCCCCAGAATATCTGCAATATGAAACTGGAACATGAAATAAAACATTAACACGATCATTATTAATATCCAAAGTTCCTGTGATTTAAAAAGTAGCAGAGAGGGCATTATTTAGTGGAAAAGAACAGAATGGTAGAAGAAGGGAGCTGGAAACCAGTACTTGACCCATGGTATGAACCATCCAGGACCTAGCACTCCAATGAAATAAAAGAAGAGAAACAGTAAAGTTGTCTTTAGAAAAACTGTAAAAGCAGTAATTATGACGGGAAAATTTTT